TTTTGGGCAGCAAGCATTCTCACAATGGCAATGAGCCTTTTCAGAACACTTTGCCAGTAAAGAGACTCTGATGCAATCTTCTCTTGATGCTGATCATCTATGGTAGCCTTTAACCTTAGTCTCATCTCAAGCTCTTTCCACCTATGGAATGCTCTCTGGTGATGTGCTGCCTTCTCATGGCATGTCAGATTTCTAGCCAGATTTTTCCAGTCCTTTGTTCTTGTAGAACACAATGTGGCTGGAACATTAGACTGGAAGAGTTTGCAACAAAAACAGTATACAGCATTCTGGGTTTTTGAGTACATAAGCCATGGCCTCTCCACTTTGTCACCATTGGGGATTTCATGCTAGTAATGTGTTGGATGGTGTAGCGATGTGGGACTTAACCAGCAGGAGGCGCCGCAGGGGTGTCTCAGGAATTAGCTCATTTCCAGCCTTGGAGCGCCCTCTTCAGGCTGGTATCCCGCTGCCACTTGGCCCCCATGTCCCTCCCTGGACTCCAGTGCCCCTTTATCTGGGGTGCTGCCCCCTGGCAGTACACCCTCAGTCTCAGGGGTCTCCCCCGGGGGACCCCCATCCCCATCTTGCTTCAGGTCCTAATGGCACCCCCCCCCACAGTCTGGCACCTGAGGTGGCTGCCTCAGTTCGCCTCATGGTAAGGCCAGCCCTGTATATTTGGCATATCCAAGGGAGTGCAAGGCCCACATTTGAGGGAAGTTGCCCATAATAAGATGGGGTAGTTGTATGAGCATCATATATTCCTTTAGCAGGTGTCCTGCAGGAAGAACAAGAAACCTACTGCCTGGTTAGGGTGATTTCCTTTTGCACAAATGGGGAGGGATAGCTCAGTGGTTTGAGCATTGGCCTGCTAAACCCAGGGTTGGGAGTTCAATCCTTGAGGGGGATATGGGGCAAAAATCTGTTGGGTGATTTAATTGGGGATTGGCCCTGCTTTGAGCAGGGGGTTGGACTAGATGAGCTCCTGAGGTCCCTTCCCACCGTAGCATTCTATGATTCTAAAGGGTTGTGTGTGTTTTTGGCGCAAAGGATTTTAGTCCCAGCTCTGTTTGTGTGTGATTTATGTAGCACTGGTATTTATTGTCATATAGCACATGGCTCTGTTCTTGTGGGAGAGGGGAAAATAGTAGAGAATACGTTAAGGTTGCCGTGTTTAATAGTCTTTGGTAAAGATGGAAAACATCTGTTTTCCTGTGTTTGGTCTGACCTGCATTTATTTATTGTTTCTAATGGCACGATGTACCTCCTGAAATGTAAAAAGATAAGATCCATGCCCCCAGGAACTCTTAAACTATTGTTCAATGTGATGTTGTAAAACAGTTAGGGGGACAGGGACAATACCAATAAAATTATGCAGTTAGGCCCTCATGCTGAAAAAACTTGTGTGCTTTACTTGACTTCAGATGGGACTGCTCAAGTGAGTAAAGTTGAGCACATGCTTAAGTGTTTGCAATATTGAGCAAGGGCTAATGTACCGCATGAGGACATTTAAACTTTTAAAAAATGTATATATTCAGAGTAAATAAATGTTTTAGTTGGCTACGTTTCTGTAGGTTTTACTACAGCAGTAGTAGGTTTTAAGGAAGTGCTTTGTGGAGAGGCTGGTGGCTTGCTGGACTTCCTCAGAAAGCATGTTCCCTGCGTAGGGAATGGCATGGAAGAATGCAAAAAGGTGGTTGTGGGAAAGTGGTCCTTGATGAATGGAGGAGATGACACAGGTAGAGACCAGGTTGGATAAATTGGATGAGAGACCTGGTTGAAGGGAATGGATTATGTACGGCCTTAAAGGGGATGACATATAGCTTGCAGTGGATGTACTGGAGAAGCAAGAATCAAAGTGATTCAAAGGGAGGAGTGATGTCAGATTGACCATCAGGGATTGTTTTGACCAGCAACAGTGTTTTGAATGGCCTGAAGAGAAGTGGTGTGATTGTCAGAAAGGCGAGAGAAGAAGTGGTTATAGGAATTAAATAGCGCGATGAGGAGGACATGAGTACGTTTTTGATGTCTGGGCAGGCAGGAGAGATCAGATCTTGGAGATGTGTTGAAAGAAGTGGCAGGATATGGATACACTATAGGATGAGGGAGGAGCTGAAGATGAACACTAAGTTATGGGACTGAGTGACAAGGAGGATTGTGGTCTCCTCAATAATGAGAGAGTGAGGGAATGGGAGGGGATTTGGAAGGAATGATGCATGCAAATTCATTGGCTTCCAAAAGATTTTTTGGCTATATTGTACTGAAACAAAAATGAAAAAGCTGACGTGGATTTTTTTTTTTTGTAGATACCAGTATTATTTGCAACTGAAGAAAGATATCTTGGAGGGAAACATTCCTTGCACATTAGAGCAAGCAATTCATCTGGCTGGCTTAGCTGTTCAAGGTAAACAAAGGAATTTCACTAAGTAAATTTTAGGGATGGTGACTTGAGATATTTGGATGTATATTTTATATTTGTTGCTTACACGAACACCCCCTGTTATGGTAGATATTCTGTATGTAGTTATGTGGCTCTATGCCTGCCTTTTTTGTAAAATACATGATATTTGCTTTGAATTTATAATCATTTAATGCACCTGGATTATGGTGCCTCAGCACTTAGTTGGTCATTGAGAGCTTGATCCTCAAAACTGTATTAACTTCAGTGGGACCTACCCAAAGCCAAAGAGGGAGTCAGTGGCCCAGGAGTTCCTGGCTCTCAGTCATGTGCTCAGACCACTAGACCTCATTGCATCTCAACTGCTGCAATCTCCTCCTGTTGGTTTAGGAGCAGGAGAGGGGGATGCATTTTAATAATTAAGAATGTGTCTGTACACCCATATTCTTTTCTCCATGTTGTCTCTCGCGCCAACTCCCCCTACGCCTGTAATGTGCTTGCAGAGCTAGTCCACAGGACCGTTACCCCACATTCAAATCTCTCCTGAAGACCCCCTTCTGCCATGATGCCTACAAGAAATTAGCCATTTAATGTTGGCTAGTTGGGGGGCAGGTTGGATAGGTTATACATATATTTATAAAAAACCTAGAAACCCCCAGAACTAACAGTTTGCCTGTCTTCCCCATGACCAGATTCATTATATGTAGTCTTCCATTCCCACAACCTTTGCTTGCATTTTGTCTTCCAATATAATTACTAATAGTTTGTAAAACCACCAGCATTGGCCGGGGACTTGTGTAGTACATGAAACTTGTAGTTGATTTTTTAAAAATTAACTAAGTGTACATATTGATAGCATCACATTTAAAGAAGAGAATCTGTTTTTCTGCTTTGTTTACCAGTGAAATAGGGTGAATTAAAAATACCTTATGTATGTAAAATCAGTTTTTTGTAGTGCAGGCTAGCCCTTTAATACTCTTCATCTACCAAGTTCTTGCTTACTCATTTTATGCTCTTGGGAGAGTATAAATGTGTCTCTGCTCAGTGAGTTGTTTATGGGAATCTTTCTCAATATAATCCTCTTCTCAGATGGAAAATATTTTATCCTGTAACTTTTGCATTCTTCATTTGATCTGGCAGGGTTGTAAGAGAGGAATTGTATGTGTTAGTAACACACTGAAAAACCGGTGTAGAATAGTAGATCTTTTGGGTTGGTACTGCTTGATAACTAAGGTGACTTATAAGGTGGGTCAATTGCTTTTACCAGGAACACGCACACTTGGATTTTGGCAAGTTGGTGATTTTGTCATTGTCCCCACTGAGGAATACCACAGCAATTTGTGATTTTAATAGTAACAGTAAATCCATTCCGAACACTAGTCTGATCATGAGTATAGTATTAATTTAATCTAAAATGGCTGAAGTCTCCTTTAAATGTGAATACTAGCCCACACAATACTATTCATTCTCAGTTAAAGACACTTGTCTAAGTACTTTTCTTCGGTGAGACTTCTAAATAAGAGCTATATTTTTGTGAGTTATATTTGTATATGAAAATATGGAACAGACATTCAGCAGAAGCTCTGGTCCCTTGAGACCTTTTCTCCTGAAGATTAATTTATAGCTTCTCTGATATTTATAGAACTGTAGGACTGGAAGGAACCTTGAGAGGTTATCTAGTCCATCTTCCTGCCCCAAGTTAGGACCAAATATACCTAAGCCATCCCTGACAGGTGTTTGTCTAACCTGTTCTTTAAAACCTCCAATGACAGGAATTCCACAACCTCCTTTGGAAGCCTGTTCAGAGCTTAACTATCTTGATAGTTAGTTAGTTTTTCCTAATATCTAACCTAAATCTCCCTTGCTGCAGATTAAGCCAATTACTTCTTGTCCTACCTTCAGTGCACAAAAGAACAATTGATCTGTATAACAGCCCTTAACAAACATATTTGAAGACTTTTATCAGAGCCCCTCCCAGTCTCTTTTTCTCAAGACTAAACATGCCAGTTTTCTGAACCTTCCCTCATAGGTCAGATTTTCTAAGCCCTTTATCGTTTTTGTTGTTTTTTTCTGGACTTTCAGATTTGTCCACATCTTCCCTAACGTGTGGTGCCCAGATCTGGACATGTTGCTCCAACTGAGGCCTCACCAGTGCCTAGTAGAGCAGACCGTTACAGCTGAAACTCCTGTAAATACACCCCAGAATGATTTTGGTGGTTTTTTTTGCATCTGCATCACACTGTTGACTCCTATTCAATTTGTGATCCACTATTAGCCCCAGATCCTTTTCAGCAGTACTACTGCATAGGCAGTTATTCCCCATTTTGTAGTTGTGCATTTGATTTTTCCTTTCTAGATGAAGTGATTTAAACTTGTCTTTATTGGATTTCATCTTGTTGATTTCAGACCAGTTCTCCAATTTATCAAGGTCATTTTGAATTCTAATCCTGTCCTCCAAAGTGCTAGCAATCCTTCCCATCTTCAGATTTCTAAGCATATTCCCCACTCCATTCTCCAAATCCTTGATGAAAATATTGAATAGCATTAGACCCAGAACAGACCGCTGCTGGACCACACTAAATACATCTCCCCAGTTTGATAGCGAACCATTGGTAACTACTTTTTGAGTATGGTCTTTCAAGCAGTGTAGCACCTACCATATAGTAATTTAATCTAGAACACATTTCCCTAGTTTGCTCATGAGACTGTCACTTGCAACTATTTTAAAAGCTTTACTAAAACCAAGATATGTCACATCTACAGCTTCCCCCTATCCATTAGGCCAGTAACCCAGACAGAGAAGGAAATTAGGTTTGTTTGGCACGATTTGTTGTTGACAAATGCATATTGGCTGTTACTTGTAGCCCTGTTATCTTCTAGGTGCTTACAAATTGATTGTTGATTAATTTGTTCCAGTAAAGTATCTTTCCAGGTGTCAAAGTTAGGAGACGGTCTATAATTCTCTGGGTGTCCTCTTTGTTCTCCTTTTTAAAGATAGGTACTATGTTTGCCCTTCTTCAGCCCTCTGGGAGCTTTCCTGTCCTCCATAAGTTCTCAAAGATAATCACTAACAGTTCTGAGATTGCTTTAGCTGGTTCCTTACCAGGCCCTGCTGACTTGAATACATGTATCTTATCTAAATATTCTTTGACCTGTGCTTTCCCCATTTTGGCTTGTGTTCCTTTCCCCTTGTTAATATTAATTGTGTGAAGTATCTGATCACAACCTACCTTTTTAGTGAAGAAAGAAGCAAGATACATTAAACACCTTGGCCTTCTTGATGTCTTCTGTATTTAGCCCACTTTATTTCTCCTGTTCAACAGCTGGGGCCAGATATAGAGGCAGGTTCTCTGTCCCTGTGTGATCCCTTTGGGCTGATTGGGTGACCAAAAGAGAACCAAAACCTCCCCTAAGTCCCTGCTGTGAATACTCCCAGTATGGGGAAGCCTCCAGCAGGTACAGAGCATGCAGAACTGGCTTCTAGGCCTCACTCCCCACGTCTCCCAGCACAGGGATCATTTTAGGGTGTGGAGGGGAAGTGTCCAGTGTGTTCCAACAGTCCCTATCTTGTGTACAATCTCTATGGGACCATATCCAGTGGAGCTAGTCAGAACAGCCCTTAGTCTGTTCTAATCTGCACCAGAAGTGGGACTGCCGTAGAGAATCAGGGAGCTGTGATCATCTTCCTGACAGATACCTTCCTCTCTACCTCCCATTCTTCTGCACCCAGTGGAAGTTGTGTTGGTTTGGATGTTGACAGCCAGCATCCTCAGTAAAAGAAGCCTTAAGCCAGGACCAGGCCTACTTGAATCCTGGGGAGGGGAGGAGAAGGGAGGGAAAATCCAAGGGCCAGAATACAACTGGGTGCAGGGATAACAAATGAAAAGAGAGGAACAGGAGTGGAGTTCCTAAAGTATTAAGATCAAAAGGATTAGTGATTGAACTGTGTCACATGACCAGTCAGAAGAGGAACACAGACTAAGTAGGATATTTTAGGAGAAAAAGGACAGAAAGAAAGTCTCACCACCACAGAATACCCCCCGCCCTCCTGGTGTGATATGGCATTTCAGCAACTCTGACTTGCTCTCCTCCTCGCTATGTCATTGATCTGGTACGATGGTTAGAACCCTGAAAATCTGCAGATAACAGCTTCGTATTCACAGATATCTGCATCCATAGATACGGATCTTTGTGTACCATCTCTGGATTACAGATTTGATGCAGATCCAAATTTTTATCTGTGCTGGGCTCTCTATTATGCAGGGGGTCTCAATCAGCAGGGTTGCGATTTCAGGTGGTCTGCCCGTAGTGTTGAAGCCCGGAGCCCCGCAGGGCCCTGGACCCCTTGAAACCAGCTCGCAGCTTCACAGGGGGCCACAGATGCCCAGTTGACAAGCGCTGCTCTAGAGGGTGCTAGTGCAGATGCAGATCCTTATATAAGGTGGAGTGCAGATCTTAGGTCAGATACAATTTAGTTACCATGGATATGAATCCAAATTTTTGTATCCATGCAGGGCTCTAACGATGGTGACTTGGCCTTTATCCAGGTCTCCCTATAGTTCCACCCCTTCCAGGGTATCAAGGCCCCAAATAAATAATGTCCAACAACATAGTGATAATCAACACAACATCTTCTGTCCTTCCTGAGCTCCTCTTCAGCCTTGCAGGGCTCCCCCCTGGAAACCCTCAGCAAAACTCAGAAACCAGACAAAAATACAAACTAGAGCAACTTCTGCTTGCCTAGGTTTCAGCTTTTAGAGCATCTTAGGTTCTCCCAGTTCTCCTCTCTCCTACAGAGCACCAACCCACAAGGCTGTCTCGCTAGAAACTTGCCACTTTTTCAAGCTCCCCTCTTCCCCCCGCCCCAGCATTCACTCCCACTCTTGTAGCTTCCCCACAATTCTCCCTCCACTGAGCTTCTGTCTGACTCTTCGCACAGGGCAGGAACTCCAGATCTCCACTCTCCTGGGTCTCCTTCTCCCAGCTGAGCTCCTCAGTGAGCCTGACGCACCCTCCAGGTATAACAAGTTGGTGCTAATTCAAGCTCTGAGGCCATGTCTACACTACAAAATTAAGTCGAGCTAACTTACATTGGCATACAACCACTGTAGAAATTACATTTCTTGTAAAAGTGTGTCTACACTTTGTTCCTTGTGTCCTTGTGCATGTCTTCATCAGGAATGCTTGTGTCGATTGTACTGTCAGTGTGGGGCATTGTGGCAAGGCTCCTGACCTCCAGTAACCGTCGACATAAGCAACGCAGTGTCAACATTGACACTGCATTGACCGAACTACATCGACCCCTTGACTCTATGCTGCTCGCGGAGGTGGAGTTATTAAATTGGCTTAGCAGGGCAGTTACTTTGACAGGAGTGAAATCGAAGTGTAGACACTTTTATAATTAGGTCAATATAAGATGCCTTGTGTTGACCTAACTCTGAGATATACACTAGGCCTCTATCTCTATTTAGCCCCTTTTTGGTCAGTATGGGGTTTATACACTCATCACAACATGATTTGCTTAACTGTTACACTTTGCAAAGTTTACTGACTATTGTACAGTGTCATCCGCTACTTTCAAATAGAGTTCATTATTATGGAGCTATACTGTACAGAGAGTGCATCCTTCACACTGAACTAAATCCTTTGATCATCACAAGTACTTGAATCCTACCTGTTCTTTCATTTCCTTAGCTGACTTTGGAGACTACGATCAGTATGAATCTCAAGAATTTCTACAAAGATTTGCCTTGTTTCCTGTGGTAAGTACTTTCTTCAGCTGCTTTTCTGACATTATTGAAAGAAAACAAATGGTTTGGAGACCCCTTACGAAGTGAGCAAACACGGTATTAACAAATAGCAGTGCTTGATTAGAGAGAGATTTCAACAAAGGGATACGTGCTTATATAAAGGCTGAGAACCACTACTTCTCTCTCTCGTTTACTGCTCCCAAACCAATCAAAGAACAAATTATTGAGGTTCTGCAAGTAGGTCTAATTAAAGTTTTTATCAGGTAATTGAATTACACATAATGCTTTAAATTGCACAATAGATCCCAATTTTCCAGGACATTGCAATGTTTAAAGATGTTTGTATAGTATAGTGAAGATAAATGGTGGGGAAAAAACAAAGTGTGGTGTTTTAGGTTTTTGCAGTAATCTGTTCACAGCCTACTAACCACAGGCTCAGTTGGAAGTCAGGTTCCTACTGAGTGAAGGAACTAATTATTTTATCCTTTAGAATTCCTTCTACTAGCTCTTTAACTAAATTCTGCTTTATGTTAAGGGTTGGTTACAAGAGGAAAAAGTCCTGGAGGAAGCAACACAGAAAGTGGCCTTGCTGCATCAAAAGTACAGGTAAGATTTCCTAAATGCAGAAATTGTGGAGCCCTTCAGATCTAAGGGCTTGTCTATACTACAAAATTAAGTCGACTTAAGTTAGGTCGACCTACAGCCATCACAATAATTTAAATCGGTTCTGTATGTCCATACAGTATGCACCTTCTGTCAGTGGTGTGCATCCTCACCAGGAGCGCTTGCACCAACTCAAGTGGGGCATTGTAGGGCACTGACACAGCTGGAGCCCCACCGTCCCTGGGCTGACAGCTGGAGCGCTGTATTTTGTCCAGTTCTGGGTGCCACATTTCAGGAAAGATGTGGACAAATTGGAGAAAGTCCAGAGAAGAGCAACAAAAGTGATTAAAGATCTAGAAAACATGACCTATGAGGGAAGATTGAAAAAATTGGGTTTGTGTAGTCTGGAGAAGAGAAGACTGATGGGGGGACATAACAGTTTTCAAGTACATAAAAGGTTGTTACAAGGAGGAGGGAGAAAAATTGTTCTCGTTAACTTCTGAGGATAGGAAAAGACGAAATGGGCTTAAATTGCAGCAAGGGCAAATTAGGTTGGACATTAGGAAAAAATTCCTAACTGTCAGGGTAGTTAAGCACTGGGATAAATTGCCTAGGGAGGTTGTGGAATCTCCGTCATGAGAGATTTTTAAGAGGGGGTTAAACAAACACCTGTCAGAGATGGTCTAGATAATATTTAGTCCTGCCTTGAGTATAGGGGACTGGACTAGAAGACCTTTCGAGGTTCCTTCCAGTTCTATGATTCTGTGGTATAGGTGATGTTGGATATTTAGGTAGTGCGATATAGAGCTTCTCACCCATATGTTGCTGGTTCAAGTCATCCTGGCTCAATAGTGGTTGAAAGTTGTTATTGTATGATGCTGTCTCACTCCTATATCTAGAGTTCAGGTCTCCAAATCACTAAAACTATAAGTGCAATTAACTGGGAATAAATAATTAGGAACATCTACTGCTCTCCTGCCAGAGGTGTTTCCTCACGGTCAGAGCTGAGACACAGCTGGGGATGAGTAGTGTGGGGAAAATTGCATTTCTCCTGTCTGTGCCGTGAATGTCAAGCTTCTGTGGATATTTACAGCCAGGGTAAAGTCAGGACATTTGAGATAGCAAATGCACATCATAATAATGTTGCTTATCAGGGCAAAAATAAATATTGTGACTTCATTGTTATAATGTTTATAAAGTCCTTTAACTTAATCTCTCGTTTTAGTGTAATGAAAATTGTGACCACAATTATTATTGTTTGTTAAGAACTAACAGTATGCTCAGAGCTGTATCAATCTAAAGGTAACCTCTGTTTCAAGGTGTTTACAGTCGAAGTCACAGAGATAAGAGACGGTGCACTGGGAGACCCAGAGGAGGGTGTCAGATGAGATTCCTTGTTTGTTTTCCTGATCTCACTCTTTTTTCCTCTAGTTAGTATAATGTTGGGCTGAAGATGGAGTTTGATGTGGCTCAGTGTTGTGGGTTTGTTTTAAGCAGCATGGAAGCAGTGAGTCTTTGGGAGGAATTGGAATGAAGAGAGGGGTGAGGACTGACCAATCAGGATTGGGGGCTTGTTCTGTGCATAATGTGCAGCATAGAAAGAGGAATGTAGATGGGAGTGGGAGAAGAAAGGTGCAGGAGCTGAGGTTGATGACACTGTAGGAGAAAAGAGGAATGAGAAGGGATATAATAAGCAATTAATGTGTCTCTTTTTTGTACTGTACAGGGCTAAGCATTCTGTTTGTGCTAAAGAAATAAATAATCTGAGATGCAGGCTGGAGTAGAATTATGCAGGGCCCTGAATGGAAATATTAGACATTCAGTTTTGACACGGTGGGTGATGGGGAACCAGGGGAGAGATTTGAAGAGGGATGTGACATAGTCTCAATAGACATAGCAGACGAATTGGCGAGAAGCACTATGGAAATCAGGGAAGCTAGAGAGGAAGAGGTTACAGGAGTCCAAGCGGCAGGACCTGGGCAAGTGTTTTAGCCACTTGGACAGACAAGAAACAGCAAGATTTCGCGATAGCCTGGATATCTTACTAAGTGCTTTTTGAGCTTTGAGAGCATGCTTCAGAGTAATACAATTAGGAGTCCCCCACTGGTACAAGTTTAGAAGTTGATCACTAGATTAAAAGTTACTGTTGTGTTTATTTGTAGAGGCCTTACACCTCCTGATGCAGAAATGTTATATATGCAAGAGGTAGAGAGAATGGAAGGCTATGGTGAAGAGAGCTACCCTGCAAAGGTAAGGATGGCTTTGACACTTGACGTGACTTAACAAGTGCAACCATCTTCATATCTATCTTCCATTTTAAAGAAAAAAAACAAGAAAATCCAATGTATAAGAAACCCCTGGGCCCAATACCCCATCTCTTAGTCACCTGAGTTGTCCCAATCACTTCACTGGGATTACTCTGGTGCATAAGGGCTGCTATATCGAGTCCTGTGTTAGTGCTGCATGATGAGGAGAGGTCATGATCTCAAACTAAAGATTAAGATTTGCATTGCCTATGTAAGAACCCTTCGGTGACCTCACTGAAGTGAATAGTTGCTGCTGCTGTAACTTTGGCTCATAAAGAGTTTCTTTCTTGTGATTTCTGTTTACTACTTCCAGGACAGCCAGGGAAGTGACCTATTTATTGGAGCATGTCTTGATGGTATCTTTGTGAAACACAAAAATGGCCGGCCTCCTGTTGTATTTCGGTGAGTATTGTCCCCTGTCAGAATAATGCTGATAAGTATTTTGCAAATTAACATTTTATGTGCAGTCCCCAGTTGCTTTCATGGCATCTTGGATGAATACTGATCTTACTCATTAGCACAGTTCCAAACATGGGCCCAGTCTTGCAGTCCTTGTGCATACATACTGTAGTCAATGGGAGTTTTACCTATATAATTGCTGCAGGATTAGTTCATTTAGATCTATGTTATATATGTGTGTCACCTACAGTTATGTATATTCCTCTGTGCAAATGCATGTGACTCTAAAGGCAGCATCATTTTGCCAGATACAGGCACATACTTTTACGATTGCACATCCCCAAGTAATTTATGTGCATGTTTGTTTGGTTTTTGGTATGTTGAGGGGCTGTGTGGTGTTCTATATATGGAAATATGAAGAGGAGAGTTGCATTACTATTCTGAAGTGATAGATGGTTTGCTGTTTGCAATTAGGCTGTCACTGGTAGTGAAGCATGCAGTCTTCCTGGACATTCTCATAGTTAAACATTTTAAAAATGTTTTTCCATACTAGGCATGACCTTGAGATCCATGTATCCAGGGCCCAATTCCAATAGGCCAGGGCCCAATTTCACCTTTGGATGCAAGCACACGAGTCCCACTGACTTCAATAAGAGCTGCACATGTGCATCCATGGGCAGAATTTGGCCTACCAAATGAATGTCATGTAGCGACACATGTGGAAGGCTACTTTCAAGGACATTGGTGACTTATAGTTACCATTGTAGCCAGGTAGACATTGTTCTCAGTGGATTTTATCTGATCAAATCGAGTTTGTGACTGATTGAAGACCAAATATTGGAACCTCTCTGCAACCCCAGAGTAAGTGGGCCATGCACAGTGAATCTCTACAGGCCCCAAGGTCTGCTCACCCTTACCTGTCTTCTCATTCATTTTAACCAGGTCTTAATCGCTCTGAGCATTCTTGGTTACTGGACATAGCTTTTCTTTTACAATGAGTGATTAACTTTCAAGCAGTTAGGACATGCTAATGGCTAGTTTCTTGTCTTAAACGCATAAAAAAAAAGTTTAATAAGTTGAGACAGCAAAGTTGAGCAGGAATGGCAAAGTATTATCCATTATAAATAATACCACTCACACTCATACATCCTCCAAAGAACTACAGTTACGTCCCCATTTTCCTTTTAACAATAATTTAATGGGTGTGAAGTTATAGTCTGCTTCTTTAATCACTATTGCAGAATTTGCCACACATGAGTCAGATGTGGGGCGGGGGAGAGGGGGGAGTTATTGCTCAGTTAGTCCTCATCCCTCCCCCCCCCACAGATAGGTTTTGTTTTTCATTTATATTTTCTGTATGCTGAAAATCCAGAGCTTACTTGTCATGTCTTCTCCCCATATCCTTAGGTGGCATGACATTGCCAATATGTCCCACAACAAGTCCTTTTTTGCATTAGAACTGGCAAATAAAGAAGAGACAATCCAGTTCCAAACTGTAAGTGAGTGAGTTTTTATTTCTCTCAGTCTAAAGCTATACAAGTAAACCACAAAATAAGACAATCCCTCAAACTATTTTTGTCCAAAATGTTATATTTTTTTCAACTTTGTAGTTATATGGAGGTTTTTTAGTTGCTGTTACAATTTTTAAAAAGCTTTAATTATAAGGGTGGCACAAATATAACATTTTAAATTCTATGGCTGCTTCAGCAGTTTTTATACAAAAGTAAAAGGCATTAAGAAATCTTATCTTTCGTAAATACACCAAAAGTGCTGAGCACTCTGGTGTAAACCAGCAAAGCATTTAAGCATGTGTTTAAATAAGACTTTGAAGTTAATGGGACTATTCACATGCTTAAAGATAAGTACATGTTTAAGTGCTTTTGCCGGGTCAGGGCCAGAGTGCTCAGTGCCTTGCAGAATTGAGCCTTTAAAGCATTTGTCTATTCCCTTCTTCAAGGATATAATTTTTGTAATAGTCTTAAAGTGTGATATGCACCGTATATATGGTTATTCAGTGTTCTGAGTCATAAGATTGTTTTCAACAGAAGGCTGCTATTTTCAACTTTTTTTAATCTAGTGGAGTGTTCATGCTTGAGCAGCTGGATTAGTCCTGCAAATTACATGGTTCCTAAGAAACTTTGATATAGAAACTGCTACATCAAAATGAAGTGGGCAGGACCGGTTCCAGCGTTTCTGCCGCCCCAAGCAAAAAAAAAAAAAAGCCGCGATCGGCGGTGGCATTTCAGCGGCAGGTCCTTCGCTCCTAGAGGGAGTGAGGGACCTGCCGCCCCCGAATTGCCACAGGTGCCGCCCCTCTCCCTTGGCCGCCCCAAGCACCTGCTTGTTAAGCTGGTGCCTGGAGCCGGCCCTGGAAGTGGGTCAAATCTTGTTCCAAAGTAAGTCAGTGGTAAAACTTTCCCTGACTTCCGTTGGGCCTGTATATTTTAACCTGTATATTTTGTCGTATATCAATATATTTTGTTTGACAGGAGGACATGGAAACCGCAAAATATGTGTGGAGGATGTGTGTGGCCAGACACAAATTTTACAGACTAAATAAATGTAGCCTGTAAGTATAATAGTTTTTGTTTGGTTTTTTTGGGGGGGTGGGGGGTGGAAGGGGGAAGGTCTCTGTTCCCATAATGAACTTAGATGTTATATAACATCTGTAATTTACTACTTGTTTAGAATATACTAAGTAGTAACCTTGTTTATTCCTGATGCTTTCAACCACTTATTTATCCCCAATATGGAAAGGATTTATCTTATTTGGTTGCAGCCTTGTAATAGAGGACGATATTTTTATAACCTGGAGTCACAGCTGAGAACGTCGTCCTCTTCTTCTAATAACTCAATTTCAATGCTGTAAATGCATCTACTTGCGCCATTAATGGGAAGGTGTTTGTGAAACACTGAAATCTACGGGACTCTGACTGTGCTTTTGACTGAACTTGTAATAGGACACTGAAGTTATTTTAAAGGAGTGAATGTAGTGTTCTTGGAAGATGCTGGATTGGCAGTCTTACAGTATGCGGCCCTTTTGATATCCGCAGAATCCTCATAGCTCAGTAAGCACCAGAGCAGAACAAATTAAATACAAGTGAGAAGATTAAATTTAATGGGCCAGTCTCCACACTGCAAATCAAGGGCCTAATTCTGATTTTTTCACCTTTTTTTTTTTTTTACTTCAGTCAAGTTATTTTTGATTTACATTAGTGTGAGACAGAGAATTGGGCCCAGTGAGTCAGAATAAGCATGATTTCCATTTAATTTAATTTATTTTATTTTACATAGGCCAGCAATAAATGACTTGTTGAGGTCTGATTCAGAGCCTGTTGAAGTTGAAGGAAAGATGGTGGGAAATATCCACATCACAAAAATCACCACAACAGGCACTAATATTAATTACACCCTTGTTGACACGCTCTCAAAAATAGTTGAAGGATTGACTTGGAATAGAGACCAAACTGGCCTCTCATCCCTCATGGTGGCTGCCTTCTGGTCAGGGATGAAGCATATTGATGGAGGTGGTGTATATATCAGAAGCATGTGTAGCTGCTGTCTGAATTATATATCGGTTTTCTGGTTATATTATGAACGTCAGTCTCTGGGCTGTCAATTCTGCACCCTTTACAATAGCTCAATTAAAAAAATAAAAATGCCCACGACCAGTAGTTCTTAATCTTTCCTTGCTGGGATCCTCATGTCAACGAGCTGGGAAATCCTCCTGTTTAGCAAAAGGGAGGGGCAAAGTAGTGCTGACACCCAAGCTAAGAACCTCTGTCCCAGACTCATCTAAGTTCAGTTAAAATGTCTTCTCTGCTGGTAACAAGTGCCTTTCTTTTCAATGTGCTAGTTGACTGTGTCCATTTTGTCTGCACGTACCTTGTCTTTAGAGACTCCCCAGACTCTCCACCTGTGGAAGGCTCTCAGAAACCTTTCCTCATTCTTTCCTTTCCACGCTTTCCAATTCTTTCTCGTCCTTCTCTTCCCAAAGGGTGAGCTGGAGAATAATCTCTTTCTTTCTGAAATTTTGCATGTCCTGTATTTGTATTGCTCTCGTGTCTTTGGGCCCTTCTCTTACTGCACGCTGACAGGTACAGAAACAGTATAGGGTGGGGAAAATGGGCATTGCTGACCAGTCCAACATGCAGTGATTTGGCAAACTACAAAACATTGTTTATGATAGCTACAGTGTTTGCCATATCTAAAATTTGGATTGGCTAGGGACCCAGAATGAACATTCGGCTGTTGTTTATTTCTTATTATAGCCTAGTAAGTATTGAGGACCCTTTACAGACTATTATAAAGACAGATCCAGGCAAGGGAGCCTACAGGTTACCACTTGGGTGAGACTCTATCAGGGGTTGAAATTTGTGTGAGAGCATGGAAATCCCACCTTTCTCCCAGCCCACTGCATATGTGAAATTCAGGTCATCCTCCATTTCACTCACTGCTGGGGAAGCCTGGTGTGCCAGAGCAAACTGAATCCTTCTCCTGCTAGGATGCTGTACATGGGGAGAGGAGGCAGTGAGATAAACCAGGTGTTTGTCTTTCTCCCTCCCCATCCTATTTCTGTGTTTCTTCTCATTCTAGCAACAGCGGTGATTTGTGCACATGCTGCACATAGTTCTTCCCTTTGGGACTGGCGGGAGGACTGTGCAACATAGGGCCTGATTCTGTGAAGTGCTGAATGCCCTGAAATGCGGTGGTGAGCACTTTACAGGATTGGGCCTAAATTGACAATGTTGTAAAACTCTTTGCTCATATATGACTTGCTTTGTAGACAAACCCAGGCTGTTACAGTGAATCCAGTTAGAAGGAGGTCCTCTTCCAGGATGTCTCTGGTAAGGTTTTCAAATAGCTTCACATTTGAGCCACTTCCTGTTTCTTGTTTTTTGCTAACTAGAATGCAGATCCCCCATGAGGGGAGAAATGGTGTGACTACATTCGTAGTCAGTAAGATTAGAGAAGGATACTTTTCTTAGGAATATGCCAAACTTCTGAGATTTGAATTTTTATAGTTTTCCATTAGACTTGAGTCAAATATTTTTTCCTTTTAATGAAATAAGCTGAAATGATGAAAAATAAGGTGGGATCAATAAATTAAGAAACGTATTGGCTTGTCAGAAAACCAGGATGTAACTTCTTAACTGATCTAAAACATAGTTTTTGTTTTAGGTATTTTAGATACATCTGTTTTCAATTTAAGATTCCCCTACATCTAGAGAAAACCTAGATGTCTGTTTGTAGGCACTACATTGGTTGGCTTTTACTCTTCACTTGCCCTGAAAACTGATACTCTGTGTTACACACTGACTGAATTTGCTTTTAGAATAGCCCCTTGTACAATCTTCTTCAAGACTCTTTTAAAAGTCATGTAGTATTTAACTACTTTTAAAATATCTTCTTTCTTAGCCCAAGCCACAGCCTTACATGATGCAACCACCACCTCCTCTACATTACAATGGACACTACACGGAACCATATACATCGTCCCAAGGTAAATTATGATGTGGTCACAATGTTTAACTCTCAAGTACATTCTAAATACAGTGGGAACCAGTAAATACTCAGACCACTTGATATCACATTTTACCACATTACATCACATTATATTTCAACTCACTTTTAAGGCCCCATGACACTGCTAGAGCTGTGCAAAGAGGCCATAGTGTGAATGTGAGTCAGGACTACATTATTTCTCTTGCTGCAGTACTTGTTTCTATTCTAAGTATAGAGTGATAGAGGGGTGTGGCAGAGAGCTAGGATGGCGAACACTGAGTTATTGACCATGCACATTGTAATTACAGACCACAGTCCCTCTTGAATGAGCTTAAATTGGCTATGGTTACTATGGCTATATACACACCTCAGAAGGTAAATTGATGAGCAGGCCTCAGGAGCTCCTTCTTATCCCTCTAGACCTTAAGGATATTAGAGCTCCATAAATTATCAATGGACTTTGTACCCTCTTCCCCCTGACTGCTCCAAGGACCCAGCCCCGCCCCTGGACAGCAATAGAGCGAGTGGGACTTCTTAGGACCATGTGGGACAGGTGCTCAAGGAAGAGAGAGACCTCTTGTCTGTAGTAGTAGGTATAGAAATCATTGGGATAGGCTGGGGGTGCAAACTTTGAGAGAGCCCAGGGGATTGTAGCTGGTTTGATAAGAAATTTTTAAACACTGGTTTTCTAAAAGTAAAATAGTTAAATTATTCAGAACTCTCAAGTGGTGCACATAGCTAGTCTATGTAATATGCAATGGATTTACCAGTACTCTCATTTTCCTTCTCCCTTATTGTTACCCTCATTTTGTGTTTAATTAGACTAAGTTCTCGGAGGCAAGGACTGTGTTTAATTATCCACTGCGGTCAGGCCTTTGAGTGTTATGGTAGTACAAATATAAATAATATTGGTAATACTGAGTCTCTGACAGCTTTGGGAACTAATACCTGTAATCTCCATAGCTGAATGGAGTTGAATTGTTTCCAGTATCACAGTAGGGGTACAGTAAAGAATACCAGGTTTGTAATAAAATCCTGCTATTGAACGCTTATTCTCATGAACAAAGACTCAAAAGCAATTGTCAGCAAAGATGCACAGCAGTTTTTTGTTTGTGCTGCATGCACAAAGAGTGCCCAAAGCAGTGACTTCTGTTTTGCATTTTGGCATCAGAGCAAAAGCTCCGCTGCTTTATAAATATTAAATGCATAAAACAATAGATAATTTACTTTAATTTGTATAGTGAAATCTGTAATAAGGACCAACTGTAGTACATCCTACCATATTTTAAAGTATCCCAAAGTCTCCAGAAAACTTTGATTTGACTAAGATCTACCATTGCTGGGATGGTCACGTAAGGCAGATTTCTTAGACTGTCTACACAGAGCTAGTATGGGGCAGCTAGCCTGAGCCAC